GGCCATCGTGGTCGATGGTGCTGGATGTTTTCCCGAATTGAAGTACGTGTAGCACAAGCAAATACCCGTTTTCTAATCAACTCGTTACTAACACTCTGACGCAATCCAAAACCAGCACGATTCTGAGCCATCGATGGTCAAAGACCTGAAGACGCCTCACATTCTCCTCTGTCCGCAGAGGCTGTGTCGCACCCATACAACAACAACTGTAGCCTGATACACACGACTCTTAAGATCTAGTGAGGTACCTTTTTGACGCCACAAGTGACGCAACTAATCAAACGTGATTCGAGCCTTTGAGATTCTTGCGCTGACTTCATCAGACATACTTACGTCAGAGGTAATACAACTACAGAAGTATGTAAAGTTTTCCACAACCTCCAGTGATTCTCCTTGAACTGTAAGAGATATGTTCGGAGACTACACATTCTGAAGCATGACTTTGCACTTTGAAGGTGCAGTGCGCATGCCAAAAGATGGTATGTTGGTGGTCAGTTTATTCGACAAGGCTTGTGGTTCGCTTTGGTCTGCGAACATTGAAGGTGGCTAAGTAGACAGGCTTTCGAGTCTGAAAACAGACTTCAACGTGTTTAGAGCTGTGGCTGAACTCAGACGTACAGAAGCTGCAGCTGCATGTGATGCAGGGCGAGCAAAACGGTCAGTCCTAGAGCTGGGATCTGCGAAGAAAGTATTCATATTTGGGCTGGAAGGGGTGGAGGATGGAAAACGTGAAATTGGAAGAAGGGAGGCGTCAGCAGTAGCATGTTTCCGCTTACGCGCCCTGCTGTATGCAGCAAGTAAGACGACCCGGCTGATGGCACCACACGACGGCCGACGTGGTATGACAATATTATTAGCTGTGAATGTCGTGGTTGTACGAGGGCTCGGATACTGCCAGGACGCCCACACCTAGGCGAAAGGACGATTAGGGTCTTTAATCAAAGCCTTTGGCTCAAAAGCCTAAAGGCAAAGCAGCGTTGTTGGGCTGGAAAAGCAAGTACATTACCATTTTACGGAACCATGCATGCATGTTCCAACCCCCAACCTGCAACGCCAGGAGACTATGTTCATCAGACCTCTACCCACGGACCAACCGAGTATGAGAGTGTCGCGCGGCCACGGACCAACCGAGTATGAGAGACTGTGTCGCGCGGACACCTCCCAGAATAGATAAACGGGTCGACGAGGTGCTGCCACCGCCACATCACGGTAAGGTCCAGTCTCTTCGCGATGGCACATATCACTTTGATGTAGCTGGACTCCACCGGAACCAGACACACTTCCATCAGAGCTAATACAACTACCGAGGTATGTAAAGTTTTTCATATTCTCCAGTGATTCTCCCTGAATTTTAAGGGATGTGTTCGCAGATGGCACGTTCTGAAGCGTGCATGACTTTGCACTTTGAAGTTGCAAGGCGCTCCGCTTTGGTCTTTAAAGATGAGGGCGATGTCATCTGCGTACTCCAGATCGACAAGGCTCTCACCAGCAACAATTTGAACACCGGAGTTGTGAAGACCATCCAGTGTTCGCCTCATTATTTCATCAATGACGAAGTTGAATAAGAATGGAGAGAGTGCACATCCTCTTCCGACACCACCATACACTCTCACCCGCCCTGAAGTATGTGAATGTTGGGATCAGATTATGTTTGTATAGCCCAAAAAAGGCCAGGTCATTATCAGCAGTTAAAACAGCACCAAAGACAAATGAGTTGAAATCAGGTTCGCATTAAAAGTCGCTGGTTAGAGAACACATTCCTCCACCCTCTGAAAGTAAACGATTAGTAGCATACACACCGCAAAAGTTAGTCTAGGCTGGAAAATAAAATGGACAAATTATTGGTAGAAGCCTAAGGGATAAAGATTACCGGACACATATGGTAAAAGCCTTTCAATGCATTAAGTGATTTAGCACCAAATTAACGGAAGACTATCGATAAAAAGGGGATAATAGGGACAGATGTGTGAATAGCGCTCAGTACGTAAAGGCCAACGGACGCGGGTGATATGAGCGAGACAGATCAGATAAGTGATGTGTTTCATACATTCCTTTCCTGAGTGTGGACAAAACACCTACGTATAGCTATATATATATATATATATNTTGGGGTGCTTACTTTTGACAAGTTCTCTGGATTCTGACATCGCACGTAAGCTAACCGCCACAATGTAACAATGTAGTTAAGGTACGGACATGAGCAGTTGACTTTATGGAGTCAGATTTCATCCCGGTACTACCTGTTTACTGAGTGGTCGAAGCAGAAATCTCTTTTCCGTAATCTTTCGACATCAGTTGCGTGGGCAGCTAACAAATTTGACACGTAATTAAACCGGAGTAAGTTTGAGGCTTTATACATTGATGAACACGTGTCTGGTTTCTATTGCACGATGTTTCCGAAGGCCGAGTCAGTTTTGTTGAGTGATGGCAAAATGCGGTCGACAAGAAGACTGAAAATATGGACGGTTAAATAGCTCATACCGAGATGCACGGTAGGCGGCTGGTTAAACTGCTAAGGCGTTTCAAAGGAGTATGTGTTGCGCTCTTGTGATGTGCACGTCCCGTCCTGACCACGCCAACGGATTCAGAAGTTAAGGTCACATGTGCAGGTTGTAAGACAAAACAGCCTAGCAAGCATTACGTTGTGTGCAAAAGAATGACTAAAAACCTAAGAATTGTGTTGGACAATGAGCATTGTGTGGATATACACCTTGTTTTTTTAAAAAAAAGGAAATATGGGTTTAAGGTTCAGGTATTCGACTGTGTATGATATCAAAACGCATACCATTACACCGGAACAACTTGGGCTAATAATTGTCTGCTGAAGGAGTGTGTTCAGTTCAGTCGTAGCTATCAACAGCTAAACGTTCCGATAAGAAAAGGATAAATCGTACAGGATCTTTCAGCTATTGAATGTACTCTGTAAGGATAGGAGAGACTGGAAGCTTCGGTGACCGAGGGATTGAAACATGGAACATGCGGCTGAATAAAAACAAAATGGATCCCATTGGGTATGCTTCACATCAAGCTATAAGTCGTACGCTACATTTGATTTGGGAAGGCGTTGCGCAAAATGGTAATATATGCGTGTGCAATGGGTCATGCTAACAAAATATTTACGCACAAATATGGGTATATGAAGAAATGGGTGACTACTTTTACCTACTACACATAGGTCTTGCTGATGAACACAGCGAACAGTACATGAAAGACAATGCCAAAAAATTGTTATAAGGTATATCTCCTTGGTCAAAACAAAATCCACCTAGAGTTCGGAGAATGGGGAAACGACAGAAGGCAGAGGATAGGGAAGGATGGCAGTTTTGTAGCCTGGCCGACTGAGTGAACACAGCAAAGCTATGTATTGCAGCATTTTTGTGGTGTGTCTCTATGCGCGAGCGCGTGGTTGAGCATGTGAACGCGCGTTTCGCTAGACAGGTTGTGGGTTGAAAGCATGCACTTACCGGTTCCTACATATCGGACAAACAAGGGACGGGACGAGACATGAAATTCAAAGTGGATTTTTCAGGCGAATGAGGATGAACCAATAGAGAGCATACAGGTGTACAGCACAACTCTCCCTGTGTTAACAGAACAATGTAAGGTTAATCAGATGCCATGAGTTGTTAGAATCAATGAACGTATGTATCTTGCAAGCTATATGCACTTGTTGAGTTTGCGTACACATGTAGGCTAATAACTAGAATGGAAAATCGATTTACACGGTGCATTTCATAATGTATGTGAATGAGTGCAAACGGTGCATAATAACCAAGCTTTTTTAGAAATCAATAACTTTACCTATCGTGTAGAAGTACTGTGGAGATTTCGCTATAAAATTACTAGGTAGGTAACGCCAATGACGGTGTAAGGTTGATTTTTTTAGAACGAGAAATATGGCTGCGGTCACCATCTATAGCTGTGAAAGGTAAGGAACTGCATGTCGTGAACACTATCCAGTACAAACAACTCATAGTAGGGTTTCGAATGACTCGTTGTTGTAGTAAGTAATGTCATATCCATCGGTGAACAATCCTGTATCCTACTAATTACTCCTAGGCCTCTCCTTGATTTATATTGCTAGTGTACAACTAAAGGCTCTACATTGCGGTAGACCTCCCTTGAGAAGAACAAAGCATGGAAGGAAATGGTCGTGATACCAGTCTTCCACAAACGTGTGGGAGTGCCAGAGTCGACTGATAGCTGCTGGTCGTAGCGCGGCTAGCACAAGAGAGCTTACGCTGGTACCATCCCGAAGACAAGTCACCAGCATTCCTCGTTATCACCTCCATACGACCGCATCAAATCCAACCCCACCAATTTCGTTTCTGATGCCACTCTGAGCCAAATAAATTGAACCACGCTCATTTTGATGGGTGTCAGCTCGGCATGCGCGGAAGTAATGACCTGACAATGTTGGCGGCGATTAGTTCGGTTTTCTATGAAAAGAAACGTGCGCTGAAAATGAGCTTCGGAGTCAACTAACTCTCGTCAACAACTTCAATTTCACTCTCATTTACGCGTGCCTCACATAGCCAAACATGATCCATCGCTGATTCTTAGGGAAATGTTCAGGAGAAGTAAATTACCTTAACCTTAAGTTCAGCTGATTTGTTTTCGAAACATTCTTGTAAATAATCCGCATCCAGTTTGATCGGGACTAGTTCGGACCATATGATTGACTTTTTCAGATCCTTCGGTTTTTCTTTTGGATCCTTTGTCCGGTTTGCAACAGAGCTGAAATACCGGCTTCCTATTCCTTTGGCGACCACAGCGGAATCCGTTTTGTCTTGGGGTTTTGCACTCGCAATCAATTTCAGATCCTTTTGCGACGGTTTCCATTCAGTCCAATGTAGTTTTATGGTTTTCTTGGACTTGGGAAGTTCGGTACCAGGGGCCGGGGGAAGATTTATCGGTGTAGTGGGCCCTGCCTGGGGACCTACAATGGAATTAGTGGACATCATTTAAGCGAAATCATAAGTGCGCTCTTCTCGTCCTCAGAAAAGTAAATAGCGTCGCTTTTTATCAACACGTCCGAATGTCAGCACTCCAACCCCGTATGTGAGGAAGGATGAGTATTTCAATATCTCCTCCTGAAATTCGATCACATGGATGCTACATACTAGGTCCTGAGTGCTGCATATAAGCACTCCACCATTGGTATGTACTTGAAGGTGAATCGCACAGTTTTAAGACCGTTTGAAAATATATTTATTCCCTAATTATCTACCCCACCGAAGGTCTTTCACGGCGGGACAAAGTGTACTATGAATGTATAGAGCGCAAAAGGAGGCAAGGCATGTTCATCCTCGGCTTCGATCGAACATTCTAATCCCGGTTATGATACTCTCATCGTGATGCTCAAATGGACCTTTCCAGTTCGGTTCATACAGTTCGAAAAAAACCACAGTTTAAATCAGACTGATAATGGATCAGAACAATTAGATCAGTAGTGCTAAGAGTGACCTTGAAAATCTTGAATGAATGGACCTATTCCAACTCCCACCTACCAGCTACATTTGGTGGTGGTGGTGGGGGCGGAAGACCAAGTCCAGGTGGGGGCGGAGGTGGAGGTAGACCCGCAGCTCCAACGGCACCCGCAGGAGGGGGAGGCGGGATTCCAGAAACAATGCCTGGTGTTGGGCCGGGGACACCGATTCGAAGGACGGTCTCTTCTTGCTCCGCCTGTTCTAGATCGGTGAAATCGAGATCACGCAGTCGTAGCGGCTTCCGCTTCACCCGCTCGGAGCAGTGCTCCCAAAATGCGTCCACATTGGAATCTATGTCCACATGTGCATGCTGTACAGCAGCTGCAGCGGCGGAGGAGATATCTCCAGAAGTCTAAAGCAATATGGTCCAAAAGACAAAACCGATGAATAGTAACACAATGTTGACAAATGACACCGAAATGTGTTAATTAGTGTAGTGCTTAATTTCAACGCTCGGTGTGAAAAATACAGTTTTCAGAAACAAACATTGCATACAGATCTCCGGAAGATCGTGGAACAAAATAGTTAGCAGGCCTCAAGGAGAACGCAGCAATCAGTACTAGAGATTTAAGAAGTCTGACAAGTCCTGGATGAAGCCATTTCGCTCAACTTGAAGCTCCAACAACCGGACCGCAATCTTTACGTGTTTGCAATCCTCGAACTCCGTGGCCTCTTTTCATGCTTGTGTCTTTGTTTAGTATGATCACTCTAGAGCCCTAGCACACTGCAACTGTGATGTTACCGATTTCCAGTGGCTTTATGGCAAATATCCAGCTTAATTGGTTTCTACCTCTACAGTGAAGGTTCGACAAATAGACAGTTGTCCATACACCGTAGTGTGTTGTTTTCAAATGTTCGTGCTACATGGTGTAGGGACAACGCCGCCCAGTGAATCAACAGACAGCATCAAGCAAGAAGCGTGAGGAACCGGTACGTAGAAAGCAACCAAAAACCCTGTCGATCCGACCAGCACGGCTTACTCGGAAACCGTTAACTCAGCGGGACTGAGTAAAGATCCTGCTACACCGGAACCCACCTGGTAGCCAAAGCCGTTTTTCAATTACGGTTCAGGGACTTTCTCTTCACTAGTATGGATGAATGCACGCTTATCTGAACAGCCTTGTCAAAATTTAAAGACAGATCACGTGGAGAGACACCACCAGGAGAAAGAATAGGCCAGAGTAGCGACGGTCAATACAAACATGTGAAGAAAGTGTGTCAACAAGAGTACCACGTTTCAACTGTTTAACTAAAGTACCGAAAGAAAACAAGGGTGCAAGCTTGCGCAAGCTAGCACAGAACTGCGGGTGTGCGGTTAAACTGTGAACTCAATGTGTATATGTACAACATTTTCGCAATCAACGGAACAACCGGCATTGCGTTACGTGAATTGCTTGTAAAACGCACGCAATGGTGCAGGAAAATCAGTTAAACGCATAGTGGCTGCTGGAGCAGGTGGTCTCATGCATAGGTCTCTGTCGATTCAATATCACATACGGTTAAAACGCAAATCACTTACCATTCCAAGTATGGTACTCTCTTTTATGATCAGTTTGGATGTTCGTTTAGTTGAACCTTCAGCCCGAAATAAGACCAGACTAAATCAAGTTCACACACCAACAAAAAATACTCGCGACCACTGGAAGGATGTAAATATCCCGGGGGGGGGATATTAGATTAGTAAATACCTTCTTCTAGTCGAGAAAATCTATGATCGGCATCGTGTTTCCGGGACAAGCTTTTTCCCCAACGGAAATATCTTTATTCCAGTCTTTATTTGGTTATTTTTTGGTCAAGAGGTCTAGCTGACAAGTTGTGAAAACGCATGCGCGCACCATTTATTGACCACGCTGTCCTGCTTTGCTAAGACGGGTAACCTCGGTATTTTCGGTAGGCGGTAAAAATTTCCGTTGAACAGCCATCAGAGGATTCATACTAACGTCAGGACACGTGTTTAACGGGTGATTTAAGTTCATCTCACCCACGAACTAATCATTGCACGTCGTCTTCTCTTTTTGGATGAGTAGAAGTCCAGCCACCATTTGTCCAGCGGCCGACAGAAGGTCAATGAGGCAAGTGGAGCGCTAAACCACTACTTATATTTGGTTGTCATAGGGGCCAAGTGTCCCGACCCAGATTGTTCGGAAATTGCACCGGCACATAGAATAACCACTTCGAAAAAAACCACTGACAAAATTTGTCGCCTCCAAAGTTTTTCTTGGGTGCAAGTGGAATGTTCCACTCAAAATGTTGAAAAAAGTTATGATTGCAAGTTACATGGCTCAAAGGTGAACATGTTTGCCTGTTAAGATGTGAAAGTTCGGGTGCGTCCTGCGCGCGCTGGTACAGTAGTGGTGTTACGCTCGCATCGCTAGTCACAGCTAAGTACAGCCCAGGATATGCAATGCTGATGAGCTCCAGTAATGGTAAAATTCGAGTCCAGTGCTTCCCCATTTTGTGAGCATCCACCAGAATGACTGCGCCAAGAAAGTAGGACGACTGTTCACCCAGATATAAGAAACCGGAAGGTCCATGGCTCGAACCCGACCTCTGCATCTTGTTTTGTCCTGTTTTGGCTTGAGTAACCTGACAATAACCCAGCCCCCGTGTTTCCACCAAACGGCATCGCAGCTAGGCACCGCGTGTGTTACAGCTGAACGAGTATTATTATCTTATTATTGGACTTAATAGTTCTTCAAATGACTGATTTTCCGTTATCAGCGAACCACCAAAATACGTTGTATACGATGATTTGGACGTACCTGCAACTGGGACCAAACGAAACTCTGGTGTTGGTCGGCCTTTAGTCTTTTAGATTCAAGTCGGGACAAGAGCATAGTCAGTCTTCTAACTAAAAAAATCGGTCATCATTAACCTTTTTTCTATATCTTATTTCATCTTGTTATCGTTTTGCTTGTCTACTGTTAAGTACCAGGAACATAGCCACTTTCCTTGGTAAAGAAATATATTGGTTTCAACTGTCACAAACTACGATTAGACCTTTACAGATGAAACGCAAAAATGGATCGCACAAATTACGACTCCCTAAAATTTGAAATTCCTAAACCAAGAGAGAATATATCCAAAACCTCTTTTCCGACTTTCTGACAGCACGGAAATCAGTTGATTCTAGACGGTAACTGTTCATTGTTATATTGGGGGCATTCAGTAAATCTTCATCGCGAAAGCAAAATGAGTTGGGGACACATTTGCTCATCCTGCCGACAGCCTCTAGCGCAGGCGGATAATGCAAATGGTGGGTAGCGGCTTTGCTTCTCCGAAGAGCTCAACAGTATCACTACATGGTCAGTCAAATATGTGCAGGTCGTTGCAAACGAGGATTAGGTTATGTCGACAATTTCGTACAACGATAGATTTGTAGTTTGTGACACTACAAAAAAGTCAAATGACTGAGTGCATTGAATGGCACTCTGGATTACGCAGTACGCCAGACGGACAATTGCGCCGGTAGAACGGAATTAATTGTAGAGGGTGCTTTCGAAAAGTCAACGCACGATACCCGAAAACTGAGATCTACTTCACGCACAGACGACCAGCGATCATAACTTTACAGTGAAGTAAATGGCGCTAAAGGCGCCTTGTGCAGCGGAGTGTGTCTTGATGGCTTATCTAGGCTTTATGCAACATTCACGTAAACAGAAGAAATGGCTAGTTTTGTCGCTCTGCTTTTCTATGAACTAATAATTGACTTGTGAAAATATGCTGGCCGACTTTCCAATCCTGCCATTCAAAAAAATCACTGAAGAAAAGAAGTCGATGCATGAAATCGAAACCGTGCTTCAAAAACTGTCTTGCAACAGGTGCCACTTTAGTTTGCTTCTACTGTGAAACAGTGCGTATGTTAAGGAAAAATCAGTGGATAATTATTATATTCCCGTCAATGTGTATATACATGTGATGTGATGCGGACTTCCAGGTTGTGTCAGGAAACTCACAAGAATGTCAAAGTCAAAAGTGGTAACCTGTTCAATACAAAAAATTGAAAAAGATTCTTTAAATTCCTGATTGTACTCTCCTCCAAAGATCGAGCACATGCATGGTCCATATCCCGATGAGTTTCACCAGACAGTAATCAAACATCAGTCACGCATTTTTTGAGACCGTATGTTGCATTGCAATGCTCCCCGAGGTTCCCACCTTTCCCTCATCATTATCATCATCATGGGCAGCATGACATCAGTGTTCAACACTGATGCTTCACTGCCGTACAACCATGATTTATTTGAAAGCCTTATTGTAAAGAAAAGAATAAAAGTGGACATGGAAGGGAATTAGTGCTACTTTACTACTATTATTCGGAGGTACCTACGCTTCTAGACACTCATTCAGGCAATCTGGATATAAACTGACAACACGAATGCCATTGACAGATTGGTAGCGTCTTCAACCAAACGCAGTGGAGATCACGCGATCCCCATCCTGGTAGGCGAGTAGCACCGACAGCACCCAAACGTTTCGTATCCGGTTTCATGCACCCCTGCCAGATCAAGGGTTACCACCCCTCTGCTTCCAATACCATGAGTTTGGCACAAATAACAGCACTCTCTTTGAAAAACGATTGTTCAGCATGCGCAATGCATGGCCCGAACAGTACAGATTCTGGTGCTGGACACATTCTTTAATGGAAGTCCCCGTCGCACAGCAGAAAACTCGCTTTCTAATTGCGTCGTTACGGATTCACTGACACCAACCCACACAGGATATGGTCTTGAGACAACGACCGTCGAACACCTGAAAGTACCTCACGTCCGCTGTCCGAACAGACATACAATAAAGAGCCCGCACTGTGGCCTGATACGCGCGTCCCCTGAGCAACTGCAACAAGTTCTTCACTAGATAAACTAGGAAGAAAATTGCCTAGGAATGAAGAAACACAACGTGGTCATCAGAATACATGACTCCGATCTTTGATATTCATATATGAGAATCGACCGACAGGAAAAATGTAAAGGTCTTGATATATGTCGACATGATACGCGACAGGGCATTATTGAAAATGTGGTATTCCACAACGGATTCGGTTGATCGAAAAGTTGAAAGAGATCAAATGTATGCACCATTATGGACAAATTACCAAAACCTCAATCAGAATACTCAAAGAGAGCCTATAACCGGATTAGTAAACCAAGAAACAGGAAAATCCACGGAGTCACATCAACAAAGGTTACAGAATGGAATCCAAAGTGAGCAAGAGCATAGGTCAACCGAGTACCGACCAGTGAAGGTCAGGCTCAAAGGTAACGTAGTCACCGACCAATCACGACACAGGACCGATGATCAACCAACAGAAGTGCCATACCAAACATTCATTCGTGATTGAGAGCGGTCCCGGCTCGCAAAAAGTATATTAACTAGTTGTAACACACTCATGCATAAAAACCATACATACCTTTCGTGCCTGCAGGGAGGAGACTTGATCCGTTCCAGTCCTTCCCGCTTTACCGTTTTCGAAACGCTCTTTCACGGAAAAAATCATGCCAGTCCGTTCACGTGGGGCAACCGGTTTAATTTGCTCTTCCGGCTTACACAGAATGGGGAAAAATGAATTTGAAGGTACAGCAGAATAAGCATTTCACGTACCAGTTGATAACCAACGACCTATTAAGATCATAAATGGACAGTTTCTTCCTAACATAACGATCGCGTTTGGTGATGCATTTAGTGAATTTTATTCTACCACCGATCAGAGAAACTAGGTCAACAACCGCTTAAGCCCAAGGAACGTCTTCTATGATTCTTCGCTGGATAAAACAGCCTCATGATGGAACCTGAGCCCAGATAGTCAGAATTTTTGTTTTGCACAAAATGAGTCATGGCATCCTGAGAAGAGATAAATGACGTTGAAAAGCGAAATAATACAGTGGCGATAATCTTTCGACACATTGCTACTAGTGAACCACGAGAAGAGCATGGGTTAGAATACTGCAAGCTTTCCGAAACTGGTCAAGGGCAATCGAAAGTCCATACCATCACTCTAACATAAGCTCAACGCAGTCTAGAACCATCAGCAATTCTGAAGTACGTCAAATAACATTCGAGAGAAATAACTCACCCCCGGGAGATGAACTGATCACACTGCATAGGTTGCGCTGGCTTGGCTACGTGCTGCGTATGCCATTTGACCCACTTCCTCGAAGGGCTCTTTTTGCACAACCCCGTGAAGGGTGGAAGAGAGCCAGAGGCGGTCAAACAATGACTTGTCAGCGAAGTATGAAAGCCAATACCATCAAACTCAGCTGCGCTGGTCACTGCCATCTTCCTGGATGGAGACCCCGATACGGGCCACATCAATGGCTAGAGACATTGTCAGACATGGCCCAGTCGTGCCCTCAATGGTGCTCGGGCATCCAAGCTATTGCCTCCAATGCATAGCTCCTTTTGCAACCCCTCTCCCCAATTGACAGCCCACTTACAGTACTGGATTTATGCACCAATTTATCAGCTCCCGCCTGCAATGCGCAGCTACCTACCCCTCCCCCCCCCAAATCATCGGTGAACAAAACTGCGGCAGCTACAACCAGTGTACGACGAGTACGCGGTTATTACAGCTGACAATGATGATGATGAGAAGCATCAAAATACAAGTCTTCTACACTTGTAAACAAACGAAACAAAAGGGCGACTGATCGCCTTGGTCCTATCGGACTGAACGCATGCACGCCTTTGTTGAAAAATATCTCACCTTTTCAAAAATAGCTGCATGTTTCTCCTTAAGTGCCCTGACAGCACCGGTAGGTGATGTAGGACCATTAACCACGGTTGTCTCCGTTGCTTTTTGACTTGCCTTTCCAAGCGCTTCAATTTTACTTCGAAGCGAGCCTGCGGGTGGGTTTTCGGGCACCGTCACTGCCTTGCCGTGCAAATCGTCAGCAGAGTCATCTGCAAAGTTTAGAATTCAACAAGAGCACCTTTATACGAACTTAAAGAGATATTTTACGAAAAATCACCCAACAACAGTTCAGTGTCACTAAACAATCATAGTTTTGAATCGTTGCCAATTTGAAAATGAATACCCATTCATGTTTTGATGAACGAAACTCAGTACGAAAACACCCCGGCCAAGAAAGTGTGCTGTATCGCCATCATGCTCACATTGACAATCATGCGAAACGATGACATTTTATCACGGACGACAACGTAACATGCAATAACAAAGTTAGAGAACGGATATACGTGAGAACTCCTGTACCGCTCGCCAGCTGAGATGTTAGAAGAGAGGGTAAGAATCATAGCGCATCAGTAGGTAAAGAATTACAACATTTATCTCCAGCACAACAATAGGTCGATCAAAGCCTTGGCCTTCTAGTGAATAATATGTGGAAGTCTATAATGTCTACAACCTATTCATGATACTATGTACATGTATGTTATATATATATATATATATATATATGCATCAAAACTGCCCTCGGTTAATTCATAATGGACCGGCAGGCAAAGTGTTCTTCAAAGTCCCCAACTAACTTCATGTTTGTGTGGGAACGCCTGCTTCTGTAGGTTGGCTGCCTCTCGCTTGGCAGTTTGTCAAGATTCGGAGGTTCCTGAACAACATTCGCGCCCGGATTCAGTCTATTGGAACCATATACTCTATCAGTTTTCTCTATCCTTCGCAATACATTGAACTCAGTTGAGTCATGCCCTTTCTCAAGATAGATAAGAAAACAAGATTCCCCACACAACCGTCCTGTGCTTGTGTTTCAGTAAACTGGGCGGATTCGGACTGACGTCACCTTCTCCCTGCAGGAAGGGACATTTTAACCCTCCCAGTGACCATCAAAGGTCAGTGTGCTAGACCGATTTACTTATCCTGATAAAGTGCACGCAATTATTGGCTTAAGCCTCCTCCCTTGGTTCTGCAATATCCCATCTGGTATTCTTCGTGAGGTTTCACGACAGGTTAAGCAATTTAGCACCACTGTCGCTATTGTGTAGTGTGTGTTATTAATATAGACATCCACTGGTTCCTGAAGGACCTCCACTAGTGGTCGATACAAGAGTCACCTAGAACCTGAAAAAGTTGGGGGGAAAGGGCAGTGATGCTCCTAACTATATGTGGAAAACCTACCGATCTCCAGTTCGTTGTCGTTAAGTTTAGAGCGCTCAGCAAACATTTGGTCTCCGCGACTGGGAAGCGAGTACTTGCACATTTGTTCGACTGTTTCAAGATGCTCCTGAGGAGTTATTATTGTCGACAGTTGCGCGTGCACAGCCGGTATTTCTATACTTACGTCACTGGAATCATCCATCGACTCTGCCTGTAGTGTCTCGGTTGCGGTGGATTCCGTATCTTTAATCGTTGACCCGTCCTCAAACAGACATGCCTGTGGCATTCTGTCTTGATGTGCCGTTCCAGAGCCATTTTCAAGAAATCCAGGATACTGTAGCTGTCCGGAGGGGAACTGCTTGCCTGTTGAGGAAAGTGTCGCGTCACAGGTTGAGTAAGTGCAGCATATCCTAACGCAAAAGCCTAATTGTTCCCGCGATCCATCCGCCGTAAAGAAATTTTATTAGGTGTCACTGTCGCTGACTTCATTCACCCCGCCACTGAAAATCGCTTGCTAATTAGATGTGTACTTCAAAGTTAGTTACCGTTAGGAATATCCCGGTTACGGTGAACTTTTATGCACAAAAATTGCACCAAAAAGAAAAGGTTACCGAGAAATGCAGTGTGTATTGTAGCATACTCGTTTGCAATAAGTTATTCGCAAAAAAATTAGTTCACATATTTGTGGGCATTTCTGAGAAGCATAGGTAAAACGCCGTATCATATTTACACTGTCATCCGTAGAGTACCCGATTTTTCGTATGATCTTATGACATTATTATGGAATATGAACTTACAAAACAGTAACAAATAAACTTCGTACACCTATCATGTTGTATGGTGGATGACAACTGAAGAAGTGCGGTTTAAAATATAGTTATTTTTTTCAGCACACAATAGATCCTACTCAGGCTGAATACAGAATTGAAATGAAGTTAAGTTTATCAAAACTTAATTCTGTGGGAACAACAACATATGAGTTCATATGCTAACATACACGCGTGTCGTATTTCGGTAGATGTTCAGTCTTACCTAAAATAAAGCTCTTGAAATGGCCGTTGGTACCTCAACATTGTTATAGAACTGAGTTGAGCAAAACCCCGGTTAAGGACTTACGTACTGTTGAACAAAATCCGCCGTCAGAAGTACCCAGTAAATTAACCAGAAGGAACGCAAGGTTCCGCGAGTTTCCTAAACAAACACGAATAAACAAACTCACCATTTATCAGGGATAGTTCTTTAGCTTCACTCTTCATGAATCCATTATTTTTCAGTTCTCTTCGTATGATTAACACATTTGGAGGCCCATTAGCTGCTGTATCCTCATTTTCAGGCTCATGACCGTTGTGCTTCCCGGATATGTCAAGCAAGGTACTTGCAGCCGAAATTTCCTCTTTGAATTCGCTGAATTGCGGACCATTTGTTGTTGTTTCACCAAATGAGTTTCTCGAAAACGAGTCCTCCACGGACGGTATGATTTCGACGGAACGCGCTCTTTCGGGAATCAGGTCAAGGGACTGAGCTTTCGAAGGTGACAAGTATATTAGTTGAGTATTTGATGGCAAAATAGCGCAAAGCATGCACATACAGCCCAACGACAGCAGATAGTGAGATGCCCCTCGTGCGCAAGTGAACATGCCATTGGTACGATTTGTGGGCGCAGTAAGCGTCAACAAGGCAAACTAAACGAACGTTTTAGAACCATCACACATGCAGCAATTGACCGTTTTACGGAAGGCGTTCGCAACAATATCCGTACAGCTATGCGAAGTAAGTCCCGAAACAAAGCATCTGACATAAATGTACTAGACAAATGGTGGTGCATTCGGGGACACAACCGTAGAGGAAAATTGGCGTGATTTACTGGTCACATCGACTTAATGCAAGTAATACCCCTCAAGAAAGGTAAATGTTGTAGAACTTAAGTACCAGAGTAGACAGTATTTGAAAAGGTCTAAACAACATGGATCAGTGCGATTCAGATGCGCCTTTAGTCCTATACCAGAAGTATCAACCTAATCCTCAGAATTCGCTTGATTAGTCCACCTTCACGTCTTTTGTCAGTTGGATTGCAGTTGCAGTGACACATCGACAAACACGATCAGCGCTTTCCTCAGTGTACCTCTGAACATCTGCCTAAACGAATACTAAAGGCTAGGCAGCACATCAAGTCAACTCTATAGGGCGTTGGCAGTTGTGTAAGTACACTGCCCAGATAAGATCTGTTAATGCTTTCACGATACTGTCAGGAAATCCAGACTTCAAATTCTCAGCTTTTAGTGATGAGACGGTGAGTAAAGCACAACAACTGAGACTGCGCACAAAAACTGTTGGCTTCAGATACCACGAGACCCCACAACTGTTCCTGAACTAAACTTCTCTATACCTGTGTGCCCCGGCGATGTGTTACCGAGCTTCTAAACTATAAAGTGAGGGTGTAGAGTCCTGTATTTCATGACTTTTCGTATCACCTGCATGGTTTGCATGAACTCCTAGGTGGAAGGGAATCGGTACACTATTTACAAAAAGCATTCTCATTAAACAGCATAAACAGAAGATCCAGCTGGATTCCAGATGAGTCTCCGGCAAAACCAAATTTTTTACCAATGAGTGTACTTTGCTAGAAAACAACAACGTTCAGAAGAGTACTCCAGCAGTAAGGTCTGTCTTTGTTCACTTAATGAAATGGTGAATTTCTACTGTCACATTCACCACCATCGTCATCACAGACAGCAACATCGGTGTTGTCACTTATGCATTATTGCCAAACAACCAAAAAGATTATTTATTATATTTAAGGCCTTGAAGTGAAGGATGTAAAACAAAGGAAGAAGGATGGACCTAGTGCCAGCCTACTGCAAACATCCTTAAATACCAACATCTTCAAACGCTTTATCAGACAATCTGGAAATAAATCGGTAGCACGTGTCCTTGACATTGATTAGCCGCCATGTTATAGAATGTCTCTATATTAAGCACTGTAGCAAAACCCCGAAGAATTGTAGGGATGTCGGCGGCGGCCGCACCATAACAATGTTCCAAACTTGGAAGACATGTGATCCATATAGTACCGAACGCAGTTAGACAGATTTGCGTGGCTTCAAGTTGGCACATTGTAGCTGATTCGTCGAAAGCCGACACATCAATTAGGAAGCGGTAGTACATCTCTTTCAAAAAGTCGCAATCGATTTTGTGGTAGCAATAAGGTAGCGACGACTACATCGTAAATCAATGAACATACGTCTCATACATATTGATTAATTGTTCGGTTTCTTGGAATAAAGATTATAGTTTTCAAATGTCTGACTATCTTAATACCTTAAACTTTTAAATTACTTGAGTTGTTTGCCTGGTTGTTTTGGACGGTTGTCACAATGCTAAGCGTAAGCAACCGATGAAGCTTGAATAATCTTAAGTAAGAAGTGTGAAACAGGTAAATTATTTCATGAGATATGAACGGGGGACCAGCTATCCACTATTACTATTTACTGGTTTCGTCCACGTCATACTGGGTGGCCAAATTGTGCAACAGAAACAACTCCCGCAACTTACTTCCTTGAATATCGTTAGGTTTCGGAGTATCAACAGTGCCATTCTCCATCACCGCGCTCCACCGAGAACTAAAGCGGCAAAATGTGTAAGAAACAAGCAATCGAACGAATAATTTATTCAGCGAAAATTGAAAATTTAGCTGCCGTTCCCTCTCATTATAGAAACGGCCGAAAATTTAGTGAATAAGACAAGTAAATATCGAGGCTACCATACGTGGAACACGTTCACCTGATTGGTCGTAGAACTCGACTGTAGTTGAGATTCCCAGATGATATCTCAAAGGTTCTCGGTTCGGAAATCCGAGACTACAGAGTGAGCACACATCTTCCACCTGTAATTTCCAATTGCGTTCAATGACCACAACTATGAGGATAAGACAGTTTCTATTGTCTTTTATCTTACTGTGTATGGCAGCCATTTCAAACGTGTGGAGACATCCGATGTTTGCGTGCTTGACAGAGGCTGCGGGATACTTCTTTCACGCTAAATGTTCTATGTGATCGCTGTTTCCGTATGTGAAAGCCCCTGAAACTTCACAATTCACACCTACTTCCCATTCCCCATTACGTGTGCTCGCCGCCTGTTGTGGAAGGAAAAAAGCCGAGCACATCAAGACAGCGTTGCAACTTCTGAAGATATAGAGCGAAGTTTTCCGGCTACATGAATGCAGTTAGACTTTTCAATAAGGGACAGTCACAGGAATCTCCCTCCTACGTGAGTTCTGTGGATCGTCATCCATATAATATGGTATTATAACCTGGGAATAAATTGCATCCTTTTGATTTATGAAGTCAGCAATCGTCATGCAAACTGCTATTGCATCAATTTAGACGGTACGTCCCATTTAATACGACCTGCTTTGAAATGTACACAATCCCTCGAGTTTCGGAAATTCTTCAAGTCAATACAGTGGTCAGAAAAATGACCACCAATTCTCCTTCCGTTTTTGGCTCTTCATAGCAATCAGTCGTATCACAAGAATTTGGAAAGATGAGAAAACGTTTTTATCGTATCCATATTATCAAAATCGTTGAGTATTTCCTGCAGGTTCAGTGAATATAGGTTCGTTTCCGCCACTTTAAACTTGCATCCAACACTGGTGGGTTCTTAGCTGAAAGGCTAAATTAGCAATTTAGCCGCTCAACTGAGTTCAAATGCGCACTTCTCAATCGTTCTAGTCTGGTCAGTGTTTGGCGCGCATCCATCAACGAAGGGAAAATTGCTTGAAAAAGTAACATCATTGTTCGTTAAGGTTAATGCTATCTTATTGAGACAAACAAAGGACAATTACCTCACCACAGAAACAGGCATAAGTATAACAGCTTGAATAAACTGAAGTGACCAATGGGGATGTGATGGACGTTGACGCGGCGATTTCGTTACACACATGCTTGTGAAAATATACATCATACTAGCTCTCTAGTGTCCTGAATTCATTCCTTTACATGAGCAGAGCAAAGTTCATAATAGGGAAACAATGTCTCTTATAGATTCATCTCCGCCTACATAGATTGTTGTATCACTCCTTAGCTGGAGCAAGAGGTTCCGGTGACCCCATAGGTGTCACCCGCTTCACAGGATTTCATTGGTACGATGATACAGAACTTGGAATAGACTTTCCATCCAGGTATTCCCTAGCGAGGCTTCTCACCGTCAATGTGTCGAAGTATTAGTAGCTTAAGTGCACTTACTGGTGGTTGATCAGATGGTCGTGGATCAGTTCGCTAAGCTTGTCAATCAGCTTACAAACGTTTTACCCCCAATTGAGGAGACATCGTCAACTACGCACTAACCATGCCCCCTCGACAGGGGACGAAATGTTTGCAACGTAATTGTCAGACTCGGCGAACAGGTTAATGGCTATCTGACCAACCACCAGAGGGTTTTCACTATATGCCGCCATACCGGATAGTTTTTCAACTACAAAGCCAACTGCAGAGATAACGGATACAAAGCAGTCAAATGAATGCCACACAAATAAAATGGTTACACAAGTTTATCATAATTCAACCAAGTTTCGAGCTGAAAAACGTCTCACCCTTGAAAGAACTTTTGATTTCCTAATCCTTTGCTGAGATTCAAACTTTCTACTGACTGATAACGTTTCGACTTTCGTCGCAATGACCCATCCATCTCCACTGCTAGCGCGGGGCTTGTTGGTAGCAGGTTGAGTGATGAAAGCAGCGCCATGCCTTCTGGTGTTTCCAGATACTGGGTCCTGGGCATTCTCTTGGATTGTCGAATGCATTCTCTACTTCCGGCAGGCAGTGCCGATAGATCATATTCCTCTCCATCTTCAGAACGAAGCATCGCCTGCAACAATATGGAAGTGAGCAGTGTGTAAGTCAGTCTGAGGAAAAGCATGCCGATAGAATTAAAAGTCTTTGACACTGAACCAATACGCCATTTCACTACAGCATTATAAATTCTGGAAAGGTCAAACGAGGTGTGCATCTACTGGAATACAAATAAACGAGACTGAACGTTTGCACGAGATCTAAAAAATACATTGAAGAATGACTCTAACGTAGCTGGATAGAACACCACCTTCGAGAATAGCAGGAACACTGCGTCAGAGCACGGTAGGACCCGGTGGGCATTTATTTAATGTGTGCGTAAAATGGCTTCAATAATGGACCGGATGTGTGGTGGCATGCAGAATGCACACAGAACGGAAAAGCCCAGAAGAAAAGTATCACTGAAAGCAGTGCGGTCAGAACGATATGAAAAAGTATGAAGGCGTTCTACTTTGATGTAATTTCTTGGGCTGATTCATTGTGGTCGTGAACTCAACCGCGGTTAGTGGCCGCGTTGGAAAGTCCAAGAGACATGCTGGCGATTCCGCTTAACCCACTTGGGTATTCGTTATCAGGATGAAGGTCATAGTGGACTGCTTTCATGACTAACCTCTTCCTGCCACGCGCCGCTATTTCACATGTCCCATTGACTATTAAATGAACAACATATGTAAGCTGTACTCAGATCTTGAGGAACCTTCATTACATTCTGAGGATAGCTTCCAGAATTGTTCAAGATACACGGAGATATATGTGAAAAAGTGTATGACATTGGCGAGACATTTGCAAGCGCCTATCTGAGAACTCCAAGAACAATTTCCTTTGCCTCATTTAAGTATATTCACGACGGTTCTAAATATCTATCTGCATACGTCGTCTACCTTGGAATCAGATATTGTCAGGCCTAAAAAATGATCTTCGTGGAGATTCAGAAGGTGAATAAAACGGGGTTCAATAGCCTAGTTTGAAGTTCACGCCCGTAACTCCAGAACTACGTGGTCACCGCCCTTATCTGGGCAAGTGACGTATACACTTTAGTTAGTTTTTTTTGGTTGAAAATTCTATAGGATTTTGACTACGTGTAAATAGCGGAATAACGTTTCCGAGATTTTTCGAAGACAACCGTAGAGGACCCCCAACGACTTTCGACGCCCTGGTTTTCTCAAGCTCAATACAACAGTAAGGCCCCTTCGTTATGATCCTGCCCCTTGATTATCCGAGACCAAATAACCACGACTCTGGATACATATCTTAACGACCACGTTATGGCAGTCCTAATTACATGCCTGGTCTTGTTTGAGGTATCAATAGGTCAGTGAAAAACATTCTTTTAAATATGAGTAACATTATTCTGGATGTACGCTCTACCGTTTATTGGTCAGGTGACGAGTTTCACCGAGTTGTGGGGTGCACTGGTGTACTTGGTGGAAGGTGTACAGCAATCTTCATACGTAGTGGACCCTAAGAATCTCACTGGCACATAATAGCGTAAAGCAGCGCAAGCTGCTTGTTCTAAAAGTCTGCAAATCATCTAACTTGGCACCTAAGCCACCGTGGCCGCTTAAAAGTAAAAGACATAACTTACCTCATATATATGGAATTGCTCGACCAGCTCTGGATCATTGTTTTCCTTGCTCAGGTTACTCTGAACAATCTGCTGCATGCCCATTTCCTCTAAGCAATCGGTTACGTCGTAGAACGTATCTTGGTCTGGAATCGCATTCAAAGTCTTGTTCAACAGAACCATTGCATAGATAGGCAGTTCGGTCCCGTTGGCATCATTCGTCATGATGGAGATGAAATAAGACCACGGGCGACCAGTAGAGGCTGTTTATCGAAAACATATGGTAATAAAACGATGGGAAGACACTGAAAATCTGGTAAAACTCGGGTTCACCATGCGACTTCGATTAGGATTAATAGCTCAAAGTTACCAAGACAAAGATTCAACTGTTTCTGTCAACTGACGCCCTCACATGACTTCATTCAGGCACCTACAAGTAGCAAGTTGGCTTTAATTGCTGATCATTAAGCTGTACGTGACAGTTTGCCTCAAAGGAACATGAGACTATGACGCTGCTCAGGTAATTGATATTGGATCCACCTGAGATTGCGCTTACGTTCACTTTCACGCACAGCCAAGGCAGGATAGCTTGTGAAACGATCAAGCTGTACAGTGTGTGCATAGGCAAGCACCACCCCAGTGAGGTAATAACCTTAATAAACAGCCAGAGGGATCCCAAAATGTAATCTGCTTCCCAGGCATAAGAAAATTCACTGGAACCAAAGGGCCATGTGCACAAAGTAATTTAAAGAACAGTTTTGTTCTCGCCTTGCGCAATTCTATGACTTCCCACTCCAAAGAGTTAGGACGACTTCACACATTTGACTTTTTTCGCACTTTAACTGATGTCATAATTTACAAACTCGGAGGGTCATCAATTCATAGATATGAGGAAACGTCCTCGTGAGAGTTTTCTAATTGGAAAACATTGCACTCAATTTTAAAATGTTTGTTGGATAAATAGCTTTTCAGAATATACGATTAGCTGATTAGTACTCAGCAAGCATTCTTCGCAATTCTTCTGTCAACCGAGCCCCACTTGGTAGCCACATCGGCAAGGGTTCGGAGTTGAAACAATTGTTCACGTGTGCTGTACGCTTTCTAACACCGCCATTCCCACTGATGAGCTCAGAAGCAGCAAACAGATCCAGGCATTTCTCGAGGATACATGTTTGTTTTTATGCGATATCTCATTTAGTCCAGACTGTTTCCGTCATCGCATACGAAGAGCCTCATATTGACGAACAAAGTGAGTGCACACTGAGGAAAAAGGCTGGAAAAAATGTTACCTAAACGACAGATGGGAAACCAGGTAAAACGCCTACAAATAACTCACGGTAGGTAGCATGATAGGTGTTGACGGCCTGGATGAAAACCAATGCATTAGTATCCACATACTCCACGAAAACTAACAGTAATCGGAGGGCAGTTTTCATCACCAGACGAAACTGAAAGAAGCGAGAAAGAATGTGCACCGAGATAATGTTGTGAACCAGCGATGCGGAACAGATCAACTCCAATAGCGTGTAATATCCTTTCTAACTGCGAGAGAAGACTCTGAGACTAGTGAAACCAGTATTAAAAACACTCCAAGCAATTCAATTTTAGTGAACGCATATCAAGCAGAAAATAGCGAACTTTTGAGGAGAGGAGTGAATATAGCCACCGCAAGGTTTCCAAATGTTCAATAACGCCGGTCATGCCATCCACGTAGAGCATGATTTGACCCAAGGCTGAACAAAAAGAAGGCAAAGGTAGGATATTCAAGTGTTAAAAACCAAAGGGAGGAAAAAGTACAATGTACAAGGTATTTGTTTGGTATTCAGAATTAACCAGTCCAAAATGAATAAGTTTGGAATGATTTGCTAGGAGGCCCTGGATTTGTGGTTCAATGAAGAGCTAATAATCATTCACATAACCTTAATAAAAATATTCTGCCCTTCCGTACCTGGTGATCTGGTGATATGTGAAGAACGTGACCACGACGATGTCGTACTTGAACAGGTATGCTTCTCTAAGCGACCGATCAATTAGGTTGTGGTCGTGTTAACGGTCCCCTATAGACTTTTAAAACGTGCACACAGTAAAAATGAGCAATGTTGACTTCCAAGTGTCTCAAGCTCAGCTGACGGAGAATTTCACAGTATAATTAAGTATTCCTTTCCGGTATATCTCAGTGCAAGCAGCCCATCTGATTCCCACTCGTATAGCAGCTCTTCTCATGGGGCAACCAGATGATGTTATGTGAAGATATTGGTGCAGGCCTTTTATTGAGTAGTTTGAAAGCGGTTCTGGTAATATAACCCCCAAAGACGCCCCAAAACCAAATTTACCCGAAAATATATGAGGACACAACATTCAGAAATTAGTTTAGAATTATGTGTGCATTTTATGCAAACTTTTGACTCGTCAACACCAGATGGTGGCTAACTGGAACCGGAGCAAGAAGCTGCATGGCCATCTACGAACAGTTTCATCGCTTTTCACTAATTCTCTTGACAATCAGCGATTCGGAGACAAACGTATATGCTAAACTTTGCACTCGGTGAAGCTCACTTTTCGACACCGAATAACGTAGAAATTTTTACAGACCTGTACCACGAGAATGTGCAGGTGGATGGTCCAAGTCGAATCAAGGTCTGGTCGATTAAGGGTGAACATATCGCAATCATTTGTTCCATGAAAGTCTCACTAGCCCAAAGCGTGAAAATTGGAATTACACAGTAAATTATATAATCTGTTTGAAAGGAATCAAGTGAACGCAGCATGAACCATCTTTGAGGCCACTAACTCTGGTTTGCATTTTTATTGCCCCTCCACAATGGTATGATAAAGGCGGCCAACTGTTTATCGTAACTGGCTACTTTAAACATCCTCTGTGAAGCATACTGTGAAAAGTTTAGAAGCCGTTGGCGCTGTCGGCCTTCTAAACTGGGTTCCACGTGACCCTCCGTGTGCTTCGCTAGAGACACTGAAGCATGTGGCGTCTAACGGATGCCAGTGCCATTCACGACAGATTGTCCGACTTAGTTTTACGGGTGTAGGCACCTCGGGTTTTTGTGGCAGTCTTGCCTGTGCTTCCCTCTTCGTCCCTTTTTTCTTCTTCCCACCATTCAAAAATATTCACAAGGTTTTATGCCCGTGAAGCGTCATTGATTTTATCTGGTGTTGTCAATTATGATGACGAAATACATAACCCTCTACCTCAGCAACATGCCTTAAAATTCGTTGGACTTGGCTCTCAGAATTAACCTGGATTAATGCAAAAGCATGCTGCATTCGGTGCCTAGTGTATCGTATTAGCTACGGACACGGACGAGTAGCTGTAAGGTTCCAGTTCGATCTCGGTTTAAAAAAGGAGCATTTTTGGAGGAAGGCGATTTAAACTCAACGTAAGGGAGCTAGACAACACAGCTCTTGGTAACGAATGATTGGTGAGTCTCGAAGTGGGTGTGATTCTTGATATAGCTGAGATCCTTCAAATCCCAATGTAATCACATTAACTACGAAGCCAGTCGCTTGGCAATTAACGCATCATTAATGAGGAACTATGAGTGGTAGTCAAATGACAGGCCAACAGATCGTCAAACTCACCAACTACACAGGTTGGTTGGCGAGCAAGTGATAGTGATAGGAACTGGCAACCGAAAACCCGCGGGGCCGATGCTTAAACGTTCACTGAGAAATAGTAAGTTGGAAAGAAAATTCTTCGGGACCTAACCACGACTTACATGATGACCTCCACGAACACTTTTCATTAGCTTCCTCCATTTCAGTTTGGCTGACAAATCCCAAGACTACCATCACGAAAACATTCCATGCAAACCCGACAACCAAAACTTCACTTCTGACAGCAGCGGAGGCGTTGCGAATTGGATGACTGGAACCTAGTCGGTCAATTTCAGGTGAGACATCACCTCAAAAACTGTGGTGGGAGGATCAATGTAAAGACAGCAAAACCGCTGGTGTGTGATCTCATCCACTTTGTTTTCTCACTTGTAACTTTGCTCAACCTGAGCACAGTACCCGTCTCGCACCTTTTGAAGTCCGCTCCATACTAGCCGTTCCTTGTGCTTTTTATGAGAGTAATCAAATAAGTCAGACGCCCTAAGCTCAAATAATCCGGCATTCTTCTTGAATCCCGTGACCATAACGACCGCACGTTGATAAATGTGAACAACAGCAGCTGATTCCGGCGTTTTTTTACTCCATTGATCAGTTACCGTCTGGTAATGAACGCAACTTCTGTGCAAAACAAATTCGCTTCGGTCGCTTGCAAGGAAATATTTAGCGAGTAGGTACAACAAAAAGCTAGGCGCAACTTAGTTATTTGATGATAACTAGCATGGACGTAGGGCTAGTCATTGTTCTCAAACTTGTAAACAGGTTGTTAAGAAAAAGCTCACCTCGTAGAATGTAGTTTTGAAGATTTTGATCTGACCTCGAACCAACACTGATAAGGCAATCAAGTCCAGAGTTGGATACGAATTCTGGAACAAGATCTTTGTCATCCTGTAATGAAACAGAATAGTTTGGATCTGATGAATACTGGCGTAGCGAAATCAGGAAGGTTTTTCACAATTAACAAGGAGGGTCACAACGCATTTTAACCATAAGATGAACAAAAATGCAGCAACTTTACCTGGAAAATTTGCTTCAATGAAAAAAGTGCTCTTCGCAATTCACGTCCAGTGGAGTTGAGTAACTTCTCTGAAGTGAAAATATGGAGAATAGGAGCCTTCAAACGTCTGTTGCCCTATAGGGTATATGCAGCTGTCTCAAATAAATGCATACCTCTTCATACCAATCAGTCCGCTAACTGCACTTAGGTGGAAATAAACCCCGGTAATCCATGTGAGAAACTTGGGTCTGTAAACCAATGGCAATAAGCCGAGCCTAGATAAGATACCTATGCAGACTATAAAGTTAGGTGATTTGTAGTTTCGGTGGGATATTCACAAAACTGTTGCAATTTATGAACACTGGGAGATTCCGAAACACGGGCTACGAGATCTCCAGGAAGCCCAACTGCCCAATAAAAAGCGGTAAGAAGTCACACAGCACCGCTTCCATTGTGGTGGCTGTCAGCAGGTTCTTGTGAACGAACCGTATTCTAGTCTACTATTTCCTTGCCGCAAATTGTACGGTTTCGGCACATCATCATCATCGACATTCAGGTGACCACTATACACTGGAAACCTAAATTTACAAAAGGTTCACCGAGCAGTCTGACAACTTCCTCTGTCGGAAAAATTTGTAGAGCAGTGAGGCAAAAGATGACCACTCTTTGAGTCAAGTTTGTTGGGGCGGTTATTCGCGCCTTCCGCCGTTTCCAGATGACCTTCACCTTAAGAATGGTTGAAAGGAACTAGGTGATACCAATCTTACACAATCTCAGCCATGGATACGATAAACCAGGCAGCATACTTGCTACATTGTGAGATGGAACTATGTCTATCAGCCATGTGTCATGCAACTCGGAATGTAACTGAGCAAGCAGTAACATAGATCTCAGCTACATGCTGTTCAATTTAGTGTGATTTCCACGAAAAGAACGAAGTTCACTGCAATAAAGCTAGATATATTTTCTTCAAAACTTCCTATAGTAAGTGTTGGATTACTTTGTGCTAGATTCGCTACAATCTGACGCTAAAACAATACAAATTAATGAACTCTACCCGAAATAACCAACATGACCCTCACACATTTCGTGCCCTTGAACGATACGCTACGTAGTGGATATTGTGATCCTCCTGACATATTTATATTTATAGGGCTGTGACATATAACCGGCTGCAAAAAAGAAATTAAGCCCCTTCAAATGGAAAGTACATGGACACAGTCTGAGCGGAGATGCACGCCTTGAAATGGACAAGTAGCATTGACTGTCTGATGACCGGAGAGCAAGAGCCCTCAGTGACTCAAGTGATACAGAATTCGTTTGGTAAGCCAGAGGCCTTTGGTTAGATTCGCTACCCCCTGGTGTACTTGTCGCTTCTAGCATGTGCATTTAGATTTTTCAGCCCAAGAATCTACCAAATTCGATAGTGAAATGTAGCGTTAAGCAACGAGTCAGTCTTCCTGCAGAAATAACATGTTCGCCTATCTTAGAGACATTTCCACCCGTACGGCCTGTAGTTGGCTTGCTTTTTCGTGTCGCTTAATCAACTAAGCCTACATCTCACAGGATCCAGCTCTTTGAAAGAACGCGCAGTTTACTTTGAAGGGTGAACATTTTTTAGTTGTTCTTGAACCTCCGGAGAATAATGACACTCTCAGACTTCGAAACTAATAGGTGTCGCAGGATTCACACAAGGAATTTCGGCGCCTGTACACTTATAAAGTTCCAGCTACTTTCACGTGATACTGACCTTTAGCTAGGCGATGAGTGACGGCACACATGAGTGGTGCATAGACTAACCAATCAGATCGATAAACTAGTGAGCCGAGCAGGTGGAATTTGGATTGAGACTGTAGAAAAAGTGGTAAGTTTGAGTGAGTGCGAGGCAAGACAACTATGTCAAATGGTATGGAAATAACCAAACGAGTTGGCTGTATAGTTCAACGTGGCTATATGTTGTTCTATCCCAACGTTTATCCGTCTTGATGAAAAAACATGTTAGTTCAAGAACGGAGTTTAGCTTGAACAACAAATTCACAATCGTTTGATAGTTACTGATCTCACTCTTCGTCATACGACTTATCGCGAGTATGTATTCCACATACAACCATAAACACAAAATCCTAACAACTAAAATACACACTATGATGGACCATTTTGGTGTCGGTGTAATAATCGAGCTCGTCCTCGCCTAATACCCTTTTTAAAGTCAACGATCTAAACTTTTCTCGCGTGTTCCCTTATCAGGGATCAGAACCCATGTTGTCACAAGCTCACTGGATGTCAATTCTCACACATAGGTTGAACAGAGCGGTGCGTTTTGTCTATGAAATTATGCCCCAAGAACATTCCATCACAAAAGGCTCACGCTGTCCCACAACGTTAAGTAAGGTCTTTTGAGAGTGTGCTGCGTTAACATTACGTAGCATAATATACAATCACAGCAACAGGACCCGTTAAACTATTTGTCGCAAAATAACAGAAACCACTTCAACCTAAAAGCTCAAAGATTCTGTGAATTTCGTAGTCCAATCTGCAAGAGGTAAGTCGGTTTCCCGACTCAAAAGTTGTCAAACTATGGCTGTTGCTTTATAAGATGAATCATTTCAACTCGACAAGGGAGACGATGAACATGTAATCTATAAACTAATCCGCGGTTGCTTCGGACCTACAAAGATGCATCATCATCATCATCATCGACAGCATAACATCAGTGTTCAACACCGATGCTTCACTGTCGTGCATCCATGATTTATTTCAAAGCCCTATTGTAAAGAAAAGAGTAAAGGTGGACGGGGAAGGGACTTAGTGCTGGCTTACCACAGTCATTCCGAGGTGCCTTTACCTCTAGACGCTCACTCAGGCAATCTGGATAGAAACTGACACTCGCATTGTATGTCTAACACTCCTGCTGCTCAATTGTTCTCTCCTGTGCTATGAAGTAGTACGACTTATGGTCCTAAAATGTGTTCAAAAGACTCCAGGAATTAATCGATTATCACTGTGGATGAACCATGCAAATCTAATGAGCGGACTATTGGAATTCATAATGGTATTTGTTACAATTCGAATGCAGTAGCCTAGAGTACAAATGCTGCTTGCTAGGTTTAGGAAGAACCGTCAATCCATCTACACTGTGTCCACCCATGCTCACTTTCAATGAATAGGACATACTCTGCACCAAAGAATAAAAAAGTCCGGATGAATACAGCATAGTATATGAATGGTTTAGTAGAGTTGCTACCATAACCTGATTTTATAAACAAACAGACATTAAATCATCCGCTAAGCGATAAAGCACTATGGATCAGTCACGTTGTGAGACGTCAGCAGTGTTAAACCTTTTGTCGTATAAAACCGTCTTATTTCCATTACGGGTTGGCAGCATGATGAACTTCTTGAAAGGTTAGTATTAGCAAAACGCTTTTTCAAGCTGGTCGATCGGTCAGAATTCAATGACTGTAACAACTCAGAGGATGGAAAACTTGGTATATTAGGGTGTGCAGTATTTCCGGAATTAGAGAAGTCAGGTTTTCCACTACTGGTGACAAACGGTTTCTTAGAACACAGCAGACCGAGGTTATGAAATTTAAAGAAAAAGATTAAAAAAGCTCGTTCTAAAATTAAATTCAGGAAACTAGTAACACGATTAGAGCCGTCCTCAAATTACGTAATCTGGTGCCAGTTAAATTAATAGGACAGCATAGACTCAGGTGCGCGAGAAATCCCATTCTACCAATGGCCATCAAATAAGCATCAAAAATGTAACTTCCTTTCAGACTATTGAGCGATGCAGTACTGGGCACCTAACCAAGGGCACAAGACGACTGGTCTCAGCGGCGCCAAGATGCTATCTATTCGGTGAAGGCACGTTCTCAAAATGACCAAACAAAGCTGCACTATTTTTGGACGCACAAGCCCTAGTAGGCTTGTTCCCGTGACTCACCAGCCTACATATATCTGCCTACCTGCGAGACACAACTGACACTGAGGTCTTTGTTCCATTTTTAACAGTGCCTACCTGACATGTCACCCTAAGGACGAAAATATGGGCAACTCTGATGTCAACAAAATACCGGCCGGATCTCGGAAACTGCACCATAACAAGGAAGTGGGTGGTAGGCTGGAACCCAAAGGAACCATCGGATGATGCCACTGTCACGGCTGTAACCAAGTTGTGGCCAATACCGCTATTCCCACCCTTGAGTTTAGTAAGTTTGACGGATTCCAGCAGGTCACTTATCTTCTCCCCTCGACATTGGCGCCACGGTCTTGTGCGCAGCACCATATTCGGCCTCACGCAAGCCGTCCGCTGTCGTCAATATGTTTTCAGACGCCCAGCTTCGAACCAGTGCTCGTCAGCACGAAGTCCTTAAACAATGAATTATCCCCATCAGTTGACGGTTTCCCTCAAGAAGACCACATCTGTTTAGAAACTGACTGAGACCGATTTCCCGCCAAAATGACATTATCCCACAATTGGTCTGGAGAGTTTGGTCATCATCATCAGGATTTTTCGCTAATGAACATTTCAAACTGAACTCTGACACGGTTTGCGATCAGATACTTGGAGAAAAAATAGAACCGAACAAAACAACCATAGCAACACACAACTTTGCTTGTAGCTGACAGAGTAGACAGTCATAACTGAACAGAACAATTTATGTGGAGGTCTAGCATATTGAGTTGCACCGGCCGATGGGCCTAGTACATGTAGTTTTACCACAAAACTCACCGATAATTGCCTTGACACGAACCACCAATTTTGTTCGGAGGACGATAGTGTTCTCCCTGTGTGAGTATACAAAGAAAAGAAGAACAAGGATTTCGTAATAATGCAAGCGAATATCTATTTATGACAACTTATTATCAAAGTAATCAATCCAACTGTAGCCGTAACGGAGGGTCTCAAGTGACAAAGACAGTAATGCAACAACTGTACAACTCACTGAATGGACGATGATACTCTCGGAGCTGGTAACGAATGATCAGAAGAGCTCGAACGTCTTCTGGTAATTAGGGAGGGTAAATAAACTCGGGCGCCTGTGCCACTTGGTTTTGTTGTGGAGAAGAGTTCCCGTGGTATATGCTTACTTCATGCATGCAGCGGAGTTAGTGAGTTACACCATATGTATACAGCCCCTCAAGAATTTTAGATAGCTCAATGCTTGAGGAGCACCGGAAGGCCCATGGTTCGAACCCTACTCCGACACATCGATTGTTTCTGTCTAGGCTTTGGTAACCTGGC